ATGATGATGATGATGATGATGATGATGATGATGATGATGATGATGATGATGATGATGATGATGATGATGATGATGATGATGATGATGATGATGATGATGATGATGATGATGATGATGATGATGGGAGGAGGGAGGGGGGGGAGGAGGAGGAGGTGAGGAACGCGGGGCGCCGTCTCTTCAAAACGAGGACCCAACACCACAGGATGGTTGGGAAAAGCAGCAGTTTCCTTATAGGAAACAGCGATTTTTGCTGATTGGGGCTTTATTGAGGTGCCCCTTGGGGCGTGATCGGCGACTCTTTTTGTGTTTTTGCGGGTCTCTTGGGGACCTCTTGGGGCTTCTTGGGCGTTTATTGGGGCCTCTTGGGGTCTCCTGGTGGTTACTTGGCTAGCATTTTCGGCTCCTCGTCCCTCTTGGGCGCCAACTTGGGGCGTTGTTGAACGGTTTAGGAGTCTCGTGGGCCGTCTTGGCCCCCTCGTGGGCCGTCTTGGAGCCCTCTTGGGGGCATCCTCGACCGGCTTGGGTGTCTCTTGCGCCGTCTTGGACGCAGTGGAAGCCCAAAAGGCGAACACGCCAAAAACATTAGCCTGGCGAAGAACCCAACCATATGCAGTTGTCAGTACCGCAGCTGCGGGTTTCATCTTCAATGGAACTCCCCATAGGACTACGGAACGTGTGAGGGGTGTGCCGAGATGGGTGCCACTGGGGCCCACTGGGGCATTCGGCGAAGCTCCCTATGGGGACATGAAACACGCGCGGGGCGTGCCGACATGGGTGGCGGAAACGCATGTGCAGGCCGCCACTGGGGCCTCCAGTGGAGCTCCCCATGGGTCCCCGAAACATGATGCTGCTGCGGGGGGGGGGGCCGGGATGGGTGGCGGAGACGCATGTAAGCGCCGCTACTGGGGCCTTCGGTGGAGCTCCCTATGGGGCCACGAAGCGCGTGAGGGGTGTACTGGGATGTGTGGCGGGGACGCATGTGAGCGCCGCCACTGGGGCCTTCGGTGCAGCTCTCTATGGGGCCACGAAACGTGTGAGGGGTGTGCCGAATTGGGTGCGGGTGGTGACGCATGCAGGCGGTGCCACTGGGGCCTTCGGTGGAGCTCCCTATGGGGCCACGAAACCTGTTGTTGTGAGGGGCGTGCTGGGATGGGTGGCGGGTACGCATGTGAGCGCGGCCGCTGGAGCCTTCGGTGGAGCTCCCTATGGGGCCACGAAACGTGTGAGGGGTGTGCCGAATTGGGTGGGTGTGGGTGACGCATGTGAGCGCCGCCACTGGGGCCTCCGGTGGATGGGGCCACGAAACCTGTCAGGGATGTGCCCAAATGGGTGTGCGGGACGCATGCGCATGTGAGCGCCGCCACTGGGGCCTTCGGTGGAGCTCCCTATGGGGCCACGAAACGTGTGAGGGGTGTGCCGAATTGGGTGTGCGGGACGCATGCGGGCGGCAGCACTGGGGCCTTCGGTGGGCTTCCTATGGGGCCACGAAACGTGTGAGGGGTGTGCCGAATTGGGTGTGCGGGACGCATGCGGGCGGCAGCACTGGTGCCTTCGGCGGGCTCCCTATGGGGCCACGAAACGTGTGAGGGTGTGCCGAATTGGGCGTGCGTGACGCATGCGGGCGGCAGCACTGGGGCCTTCGGTGGGGCTCCCTATGGGGCCACGAAACGTGTGAGGGGTGTGCCGAATTGGGTGTGCGGGACGCATGCGGGCGGCAGCACTGGGGCCTTCGGGGGGCTCCCTATGGGGCCACGAAACGTGTGAGGGGTGTGCCGAATTGGGTGTGCGGGCGCATGCGGGCGGCAGCACTGGGGCCTTCATGCGGGCGGCAGCACTGGGCTTCGGAGGGGCTCCCTATGGGGCCACGAAACGTGTGAGGGGTGTGCCGAATTGGGTGTGAGCGGGACGCATGCGGGCGGCAGCACTGGGGCCTTCGGTGGGGCTCCCTATGGGGCCACGAAACGTGTGAGGGGTGTGCCGACTTGGGTGTGCGGGACGCATGCGGGCGGCAGCCCTGGGGCCTTCGGTGGGGCTCCCTATGGGGCACGTGTGGGGCCTTCGGTGGGGCTTTTCGGGGCTCTATGGGCCACGAAACGTGTGGAGGGCCGTGGTGCCGAATGGGCGTGCGGGACGCATGCGGGCGGCAGCACTGGGGCCTCGGTGGGGCTCTCTATAGGGGGCTACGGAACGTCGTGAGGGTGTGCCGAACCGTGGGTGTGCAGGACGCAGCGGGCTGCAAACACTGGGGTCCTTCGGTGGGGTTCCTATGGGGCCACGAAAACGTGTGAGGGGTGAGCAGAATTGGTGTGGGGACGTCGGGCGGCAGCACTGGGGCCTTCGGTGGGCTCCCTATGGGGCCACGAACGTGTGAGGGGTGTGAATTGGGTGTGCGGTGACGCATGCGGGCGGCAGCACTGGGGCCTTCGGCGGAGCTCCCTATGGGGCCACGAAACGTGTGAGGGGGTGCCGAATTGGTGTGGGTGTGCGCATGCGGGCGGCAGCACTGGGGCCTTCGGTGGGGCTTCCTATGGGGCCACGAAACGTGTGAGGGGTGTGCCGAATTGGGTGTGCGGACGCATGCGGGCGGCAGCACTGGGGCCTTCGGTGGGGCTCCCTATGGGGCCACGAACGTGTGAGGGGTGTGCCGAATTGGGTGTGCGGGACGCATGCGGGCGGCAGCACTGGGGCCTTCGGCGGAGCTCCCTATGGGGCTACGAAACGCTGTGCTGGGCGGGTGAAACGCAAGGAAGAGGGGGAGGAGGGAGGAGGAGGGGGAGGAGGAGGAGAGGAGGAGACGCGGGGCACCGTCTCTTCAAAACGAGGACCCAACACCACAGGATGGTTGGGAAGAAGTTTCTCATCGGAAATCGACGATACTTGCTTATTTGGGGCTCTATTGGAGTGCCCCTTGGGGCGTGTTCGGGGACTCTTTTTGTATTTGTTTGCGGGTCTCTTTCTCGGGCGCTTCTTGGAGCCTCTTGGGGTCTCCTGGGGGTCTCTTGGGCCAGCTGGCTCGCATTTTCGGTTTCTCGTTCCCGTCTTGTGCGCCGACTTGGGGCGTTGTTGAACGGTTTAGGCGTCTCGTGGGCCGTCTTGGCCCCCTCGTGGGCCGTCTTGGGGGCATGCTCGACCGTCTGGCCCCCGAGTTTTGCAACCCCGAGGCCGGACCACCATTTTGGGTGAATAACGTCGCGGTTTCCGTTGGTTGCGGGTCGTCGTTCCAGACGTTGGTAGCAGGTTGCCCTGCATTCGCTTCAGCATGAAAGGTCTCCGCACGGTGACCGTGGCTGCAGATACCGCCAATATTGCCAAAGGTTCGCTCAGCGATGTGGGCATATGACCTCACGCGTTCAAGCAGAGAGTCAAATTGCTGCTGGTCCCTCGGCATGCGGTGGTTTAGTGGCTGTAGAAGTTATTGTGCACGCGACGTCCCCACTCCTGAGGCTCTGAACTGAGTAACAATTAGAATTTGAAAGTTGGGGATGTTTCGACCTGCCGTTTCAGCTTCATAGCGGGCTATCTGGAAGCGTGCCAGAGTCTGTTCGATCCGTTCTCCTGCATGGACTCGGAAGTCAGTGAGAGCTGTGCCAGAGTTGAGTTGGCGTTCCTCTTTTAGGTCCTCGAACTTCGTACTTACGAGGAACACGATGTAGGTGACACCATCGGTATGGCGGCCACCTACGTTAACGTCGAAATTGATAACTGCTGGGGGAACTCTCATGGCTATGGTCCGTGAGAGGCCCCCCAAGCCTCGCTGCAGTGCTGCAGCTTGTTGGGAGGGCGTCGTAGTGCCTGTGGTCACGTTGATCCAGGCATGCACCTCGCGCGAGCGGAATCACGGAAAGATGCTTGACTGGCCGGGTCCCAGTGGGGGCCGGTTGTTCCTGTGTCGCCTCCGCCGCGCATGTGTCCCACCGCACACCGGATAGCAACCCATATGAGCCCCAAAATAACTATACCAATCCAGTGGCCTCGTAGTCGGATGTGGTTGGCTGGGGTTTGTGGTGTATTGTCGTAAGACTGCGTGGGGGTGTAGGCGGCATAATGCCGTATCGCATGCTTCCACGCATTGCATCTTCGAAGAAGTTTCCAAGTGGAGTAGGTGGGTGGACGTCAAGAGTGTAGTAGCGCAGGGATGTAGGACTCGAATACGAGGCTTCTGCGAGGGCAGAGGTAGCACTGCAAGTGTCCTTGCGGTTGTGCGTAGTGATGTACATTCCTCCGCGCAGACCCGCTGCACTCTGATGTTCCACCATGTCAGTAGTCCACCAGATAGTGCCGTGGATGAGGAGTAGAGCTAGAGCTGACCACCATAGGCCAGTTCCGCTACCAAGTTTGAAACGGGTTGGGAGGCCCAACCAGCAGCTTCGCCGAAGGCGAAACCCAGCTCCAACTCTGTCGTACCGTAATAAAGATAGTCCCTGTAGTCGGAGATCGTCGCGGGAGCGACGAGCCATCCCAAGCAAAGGATGTCTTGGTCTCGATGGCAAATGGTACACCTCGCACTGAGGTGTAGTCAGATCTGGGCGGCCGGCCGCTTGAGCACAAACGGCCGCGGACACACGCTCGTTACCTCTCGCCTGTATCACAGCTCACTGTAGAGTCGCTGTACCTGTTTCCAGTACCTGAGCCAAGACGGCAGCAGTATATATAGATAGAATGATGAAATGAGCGGACTTCACACACAGCCGGCCCTGCGCGGGCGCCTTGGGCTGTGGAGCCACATATGGCTTCGCACCCCCCCAGCTGCCAGGGTCATGTGCCATATTTTCGTGGAAGGCCGATCCGGCCCGATCCCTCCACCCACCCACCCATCCCCTCCTCCGCCCCCCCTCCCCGTCCCTCTACCCTCCCCGTCCTCCTTCTCCTCCTATCTCCCTCTCGTTCTCCTCATTCCCCTGCTTCCTGCTCCTCCTCTTTTCCCACCTTCGAGAAGAGGATGGAAGAGGAGGATTAGGGATGAATGAAAAGCGTACCCCTCTCGTGTCGATCGGGCGCGCCTCCCAGAACTGGCTGGCCCTGGCCGACGCCACCATGATTTTGACCTGCGCACGCTTCTGCGCCTCGGGGCGAGCGCGGTCCTGTGCCCTCCTCGGCCTCCCTCTGTGCCTCGATGGAGGAGGCGAAGAGAGCTCTCGGGAGGGAAGGAGGAAAGGTGGTGGGAGGAGGTAGGGGGGAGGGTAAGGAAAGGAGGGGCCGGCCTGGCCTGTACCCGAAGTCGGCCCGTTGCCGATGCGTGGGGACGGTCTCGGATCTGTTATTACGCGCCTGGCTGACGTGGCCATCTTCCCTCAAAATTGTGTGCTGGGGACGTGGATCAGCCGGGGAGGGAAGGAAAGGAGGGGAAGAGTGGAGGATGGGGAGGGAGCGAAGGGTGAAATGGGAAGAGGGGAGGCAGAGAGAGGACAGTGGGAGGGGCGGAAGCTGAGGAAGAGGGAAGGGAGAGGAGGAGGAGGAGGAGGAGGAGGAGGAGGAGGAGGAGGAGGAGGAGGAGAGAATAAGAGGGGGAGGGGGATCGAGAACAGGAGGAGCAGCATGGGGGGTCGAGGATAATCATGCGAACGGAAGCACTGAACCAGCAGAGGATGATGGAGATGGAAGGGCAGGAAGAGTATGAAGAGGAAGATGATGAGGCTTGAACCGAGGGATGAGGAGAGACAAGGAAGCTTACGCTCTCTCTCTCTCTCTCTCGCTCTCTCTCTCTCTCTCTCTCCCTCTCTCATCCCTCTTTTCCCTCCTATCGTTCTCTCCGTTTCGTTCACTGCCCTGATCCATCCCCCCCTTCGACTACTGTGCCTTCTCCATCCTTCCCCTTCTCTGCCTGCCTCTCTCCCCTCCCGTCCTGTCGTCTCCGTCACTTCTTTTTTCCTGGCCTTCACCTCCCTCCCTCCCTATTACGCGGATCCGAAGACATCAGGCTGACGGCCATTTTCTCTTTTACTGCAAAAGACAACAGTTGCGCCAAAACCTGTCGGTTCGGATATGAGCGCACCCCGCTATCAACGCAAAAGGTACCGAACTTGCGCTGCCCACGACCATGCACAGCCTCGATGCGCCACGACGCCCTGCCCCGCGCTGATGCCACCATCGATCCGCAGGAGAAGCCATCGACACACGACAACGCAGCGCTATATGACAATCAAATTGCTCAACATGTGCGCTGAACCCTGTATGCTTCGCTGAGCGGGCCGCGATCTTTCTTAAATTACGCGGCCGCCAAACAAATGCATCATCGACGTCCCGGGCTGCAGCCCACCCCAGATCCAACCATGGCGAGAGGTGCTGCTTGATACGACCCATGGCTGGTTCCAAACGAGGGCTGGCCACCACAAGCTGGCCGTTTACCACTGCCGCTAAGTTTTGACAGCTTGTGTGTTACACCAACTCGCACTCGCACGCTCGCCCATTCTTTTTGCTCCGACTTCTTCGCCACGCCTGGTGACCAACGGCGTTCAAGGATACGCTGCCACCCTCTGGCGTTTCTCGCGCGCGGTTTGCTTGGTATGTCGGGGAGGCTAGTTCCGAAGTGGTAAAATGCCACCCATCAATCACAACTGCGTTTTGCAAACTCGGGGTACACTGACATACGCTAGACCAAAACCTGCCTCTCCGCCTCCCCGACTCCCAAGTACCTTTCTCGCACCCTGTCTCTGATGCGCGGCACCTGTTGGAACCGACTCCTGTCGCCGTCCTCATCATTGTTCGCTTTGGCCTCGTACTCCTCCACCTCTTGATCTCTTGTCCCAGGGGGACCACACTCACTGACTTCCCCGACGTCCTTGGCAGACGTTAGCGTTCTCGCCTGTTCGGGCTTCCGACGCTCCAAGACGGCCCAAGAGGCCCCCGCCATCGCATCAAGATGCCCCCGAGGGCCCCCAGACGGCCCAAGAGGGCCCCCAAGACGGCCCACGAGGGCTCCAAGAGGCCCCCACAGATGGCCCTCAGGCGGTCTACAAACTGCCCCAAAGGTCCTCAAGACGGCCCTAGAGGCACCCATGACGCCCCAAGAGAGCCCCCTTTGGCCCCAACGATGGCCTCATCAGGCCAACATCGTCGATACTCCGTCGACTTTGGGCAGATTGTAGCATTCTCGCCTTTTCGGCCTTCCGAAGCTCCAGGACAATCCAAGAGAAGAGGCCCCCAAGATCGTCCCACAACGGCCAAAGAGGCCTCCCAAATGGCCCCGAGACAGCCCGAAATGGCACACGGCCCCAGAAGGCCCCAAGAGAGCTCCGAGATGGGGAACACGAGCCGACTTTTCGAGCCCACCGCCCCACGATGACCCCCGAGACCGCCAGCAGGCCCCCGAACAAATCCCTAGAAGCCCCTCGAGGCCGCTAAGCGGCCCAACCCTGTCCCCAAGAGGCTCCCAAGGCCCCCCAAAGGTAACCGCGAGGCCACCAAGAAATTCGAACACCGCCTCCGAGAGGCTTCCGAGAGGCCCTCCAGAGACCCCCACAGGCATCCACTAGTCCACTGTATAAAACTTCACTTATTGGGACAAGGGTCCGCGGAGGTCCGGGGGGAAGTGCAACAACCCTTGTACGTGGGCAACATCAGGCCCTCGGTCGTTAGGCCCAGGTGGAGTTCAAGGCTGCCGCCCTCAAACAAACATCTTCAGAAATATCTAGGGTGCTCGCCGAGTGTCTTTTGGGACGGGTCTGAGGAGTCGGGGGGAAACCTGAGCATCAAAGTCACACCAGCCCATGAGGGCGTGAGTGGTTTAGGGCGTGTTCTCTTCCAACCCCCTTTATCCCCTTCGGGGACGGGTCTACTTTCCTGTTTTTTTTCCTCGGGGGCCGCGCAGGGCCGTGCCTGACGAAATTCTTCGGGGCCGCTGCGTTCGCGCAGCGTCGTCCTGGCGTCAGGGCTCCTACCAGACGCTGATGAACGAACCACGTGTGACGAGAAACTGGCGTCACGGGAGGACCAAACCTGCAATAGGTGAGCCAACACGTGAAACCTTAGCTCGTGCAGAAACTTGTGGCGATGCTTGCGCTGTCCGGGGAAGGGTGTTCAAAAGTTCCGCCATCAGGCCAAGGTGCGACCTCAAAGTGCAGACCCACGCGGACCCTTCGCAAACCACTTTAATCCCACCAGCCCTCTGGGCGTAGGTGGTCTAGAGCAGATCCTCTTCCACCCCTCCCTCTTCCCCCTTGGGGAGGGGTTTACCCCTCCCCCTACCCCCTCCCCTGGACCTGGACGGGGGGGGCCGCGGGTAGTTAGAGCGTATGGCCCAAGACGGCTCCAAGAGCGCCTCAGAGAACCCAAGACGGCTCCAAGAGCGCCTCAGAGAACCCAAGATGAGCTCCAAGATGGCTCAAGATAGCGCAAGATCGCTCACGATGGCTCCTAAGATGGTTCCAAGAAGCCCAAAGACGGCCCCAAGATAACTCCAAGTGGCCAAACAGCTCCCCAAGGAGGCCCCGAAGAGGCCAAAATCGTCCCAAAACCTAAGGAAAATCAATGATTTTTGCTTTCTCGCCTTTTCGCTTCCGATGGCCATCCGAGGCCTGGAGATGGCTCCAAGATGGCCCAAGAGGGCCCCAAGAGAGCCCCAAAAGAGCCCCAAGACGGCCCCAAGAGCGCCCAAGAGCACTCCAAGAGCGTTCCAAGAGGGGTCCAAGAGGCGATTTTAGGGGCTTCCGAGGGGGGACGCTAATTAAACCCCCCCTCTTGTTTGATCGACTCCCTCCAAGATGGCCCCAAAAGCGCCCCGAAGGCTCCCCAGAGCGCCTCAAGAGGGTCCCAAGAGGCGCCCAAGATGCCCCAAGGCGCCCAAAAAGCCCTCAAGAGGCCCTCAAAAGACCCCCAAGAAGCTCCTTCCCCTCCTCCTCCTCCTCCTCCGATTCTTCCTCCTTCTCCGTCCTCCTCCTCCTCCTCCTCCTCCTCTTCCCCCTCCTCCTCCTCCTCCTCCTCCTCCTCCTCCGACGACGACGACGACTCCTCTTCCATCCTCCCCCTCTCGGGGTCTGTGACAGCTTCCCCCGCCCTTTGTTATTCTGCATGCTCCCCGACTTCCCTGATCACCTTAACTCCCCTGAGCATCGTTTCTGGATGGGCTGGTGGGGATACGCGAAGCGTCAACAATTCACCAGCCGGATTTTGTGAGACCTTTTATGTTAAACGGCATTGCATTATACATGGCGTGGGTTTGAAAGTTTGAAACAGCTCCATGAATGACCACATAAACTTGGATGCCATGTACATGCGACTAGAACCACGCGCGCGCTTCGCGCGCGCTTAGGTTCTGTCGAGTCACAGACCCAGGAATCGTTGCGAGAAGAAATTGGTGACGCGAAGCGTCTTGGGGGCGTCCTTGGACGTCTGGGGTCTCCTGGGGCCTCTTGAGGGGCCTCCTGATGGCCTCCTGGCGGCCTCTTGGGGCGGAAGGCTCGAGCTTGCGGTTCGTGGTCCCCCTCTGGGCCCCCTCTTGGGCCCGTCTTGGGGCCCTCTTGGGCCATCTTGGGCGCCTCTTGGGCCGTCTTGGGGCCCTCTTGGGCTGTCCTGGGGCCCTCTTGGAAGCTTCTTGGGCCGTCTTGGGGCGGTCTTGGGCGCCTCTTGGGCCGTCCTGTAACGTCGGAAAACCCAAAAGACAACTTTGTTGAACATGTACGTTTTACGAAGGGAATGGGCCAATTTTGCGTCTAGGGGCCCTCTTGGGACGCATGTTGGAGGCTTCTTGGGGCCTCTTGGGGGCGTCCTTGGACGTCTGGGGTCTCCTGGGGCCTCTTGAGGGGCCTCCTGGGGGCCTCCTGGCGGCCTCTTGGGGCGGAAGGCTCGAGCTTGCGGTTCGTGGTCCCCCTCTGGGCCCCCTCTTGGGCCCGTCTTGGGGCCCTCTTGGGCCATCTTGGGCGCCTCTTGGGCCGTCTTGGGGCCCTCTTGGGCTGTCCTGGGGCCCTCTTGGAAGCTTCTTGGGCCGTCTTGGGGCGGTCTTGGGCGCCTCTTGGGCCGTCCTGTAACGTCGGAAAGCCCAAAAGGCGACTTTGTTAAAAATGTACGTTTTACGAAGGGAATGGGCCAATTCTTGCGTCTAGGGGCCCTCTTGGGACGCATGTTGGAGGCTTCTTGGGGCCTCTTGGGGGCGTCCTTGGACGTCTGGGGTCTCCTGGGGCCTCTTGAGGGGCCTCCTGGGGGCCTCCTGGCGGCCTCTTGGGGCGGAAGGCTCGAGCTTGCGGTTCGTGGTCCCCCTCTGGGCCCCCTCTTGGGCCCGTCTTGGGGCCCTCTTGGGCCATCTTGGGCGCCTCTTGGGCCGTCTTGGGGCCCTCTTGGGCTGTCCTGGGGCCCTCTTGGAAGCTTCTTGGGCCGTCTTGGGGCGGTCTTGGGCGCCTCTTGGGCCGTCCTGTAACGTCGGAAAGCCCAAAGGCAACTTTGTTGAAACATGTACGTTTTACGAAGGGAATGGGCCAATTTTTGCGTCTAGGGGCCCTCTTGGGACGCATGTTGGAGGCTTCTTGGGGCCTCTTGGGGGCGTCCTTGGACGTCTGGAGGCCATCTTCAGCATCTCGGAGCCCTCTTGGAGGCCTCTTGGAAGTTTCTTGGGCCGTCTTGGGCGCTTCTTGGGCCGTCTTGTCTGACTGGGGAGGCCTCCGGCAAGCCCCGACGAGCCTCCGGGCCCCCCGGGGCGCACATTTGTGGTCGAGGTCCCGGCCCCGGGCCCCCGGACCCGGTGCGCCGTTATATGTATAAGAGAGAGGGGGAGGAGAAGGGAGAAGACAGAGGATAATGAAGAGGACTTAGAAGACCACACCACTCAAATGATACGAGTTACCCCTGATGCGTATCAGGTAATAGCTGGCTGGCCTGAGGCCCGAATGCGCGACCAGCGGCGGTGCGCAGAGACTAAAACAATCTACAATGGTGTAACCGAGGAGCTGACTAGGCCCTCGAGTACCACGACCATGGAGCGGACACTAGAGGCAAGGAGCCGAAGAGGAAGGGAAAAACGAAAACCGGTAGAAGCCCCCACGGGCCCTTTTCAAATACAGAGCGGAGCAGACTTTGAGACGGGGGGTGTCCCAGGACGCCCGCGAAGAAAACCGCGGAAGGTTTCTCCATCGCCCAGGGGGAGACCATGACGAGTGCCGTTCTGTATTTTGAACAACGCGTAGACGCCAAAAGCCCCGAGGGCTGCCACCGAAGCAACGGAAGAGCCCGTCCGCGGATGGGGGGAGGAAGGGAGGAGGGACAGAGGAGGACGCCCAAGAAATTCCCAAGACACGCCTCTGGCGGGGGGCGGGAAAGGCCTAAATGTTTCTTGCGCAAAATGTGAAACAACTGCAGAAACATAATGCTCAATGCTGTTTTCGCTTCTTTTGCACCCCCAAATACATCCCGTTGCACCTTGGAAGCTCCGGGCCGTGCACCAGCCGTTCCAAGCCGGGCGCGACTGGCACGCCTGGACACGAGGAGGGAGGAAAGAAGCAAACAGAAAGAGGGAATGTTCCAGGCTCGCGGCTGGTGCCCTGGGAGCGCGGGCGAGTGCGAGCGATCTAGCTTTCTCTGGCGCGCAGCGTTCTTAAACATCCGCGTCGCGCGGGCCTGCCAACCCGCCTTTTTCAAAGCATCGGGCCACGCTGGGTCGAGGGGGGAGGGGGCGGCGCGCTGCGTGGCCTCAGCCCGCGACAAGGCCTCTGAGGCGGCCTGCACGTGGAAGAAGGCGCAATCCTGGATGAGCGCCCCGCGCTCAACCGTGCGGGCGCGGTTGCCGGGCTGCAGCGAAATCTTCCGCAGGGCCCTCGCGCGTTGCCGGACTTTCAGACCGCCGTGGGCCGAGCTGTCGAAGCGCGCCACGCGCGCTCGCGCCGTCGCCGCAGCGCTTAGCATGTCTGGGAAATACCGGGGGAAGTGCAGCGAGGTCACGTCCTCGATGGCCCCCACCGTCACCCAGTTCGCCGGGCCGTGGAAAACAGCAACGCGATCCCGCTCTTCTTCCGCAGCGACGGTCGGCGCCAGCGGCAGGAGCTGCGATTGACCAGGTGCGCCAACGTCGTCTGGGACATGCCGGCGCCCACGCCACTCCAATACCGCGCTCGAGCTTGGAATTTCTGGAACGGGGAATCCCAAGAGTGGGCGCCCCTCCCCAGGCCCAGCCACACCCGTAAATATTTTGCCTTGTCGCTCATGAGGATGGCGCCCGAAAGCGGGGCTGCTCGCGCCACCCGCTCGCGGAGCTCGTCGCGGTCGAACCGGAAGAGCGGCGCGAAGATTGTTTGGTGGATGTTCAGCTTGAGCCCCGACAGCCTCCCATCCTCCTCGATTGCGCCCTGGTAGGTCGCGATGCGCTGCGTGATTTGGGGGCCCACCAGTGCCGCGTCGTCAGCGTAGCCGCGGAGGCAGGCGAGGAATCCGACGGAGCAGCTAATTTGGACAGAACGGCAAACAAGAGACGGGAGAGAAGGCAACCCGGTCGAATGCCCCGCCGAAGCTCGAAACCAGCATGCCGGGCACCCCCGAATATCATGGAACGCATGTTGCAACAGTACCGTGCCAACAAACAATTCAACAACCAAGGGGGCCAACCCTGTCTCCGGAAGACCCTGAGCATCGTCTCGTGTTCCAGGGAGTGGAAGGCGGCAGCGAAGTTGAAGAAGAGCGCACAGCCCTCAGCTTGTGTGCGCGCCGTCGTCGCCATGACCTCTTCGACGTGGGCAACATTGGCCGGCATGCTGCGCCCCGCCAGAAACCCCTCTGGATTCAAGAGGCCTTGGAACCCGCCGCGGGCTCGATGAGGTGGCGGACAAAGAAAAAAACGCACCGCAATTGTGAGTGTCTTCTTCGGCGGGGCTCCCTATGGGGCCACGAAGCGGAGCGCTAGGTGGGGGGGGGCGCATGCGGGCGATGGCACTGGGGCCGTCGGTGGGGCTCCGTATGGGGCCACGAAGCGCTGTACTGGGCGTGGCGGACGCATGCGGGCGGCCCCGCTGGGGCCGTCGGTGGAGCTCCCAATGGTGCCACGAAGCGCTGTACTGGGTAGGAGGGACGCATGCGGGCGTTCGCACTGGGTCCTTCGGCTGAGTTCCCTGTGGGGCCACGAAACGCTGCACTGGGTAGGGGGGGCGCATGCGGGCGCTGGCGCTGGGGCCTTCAGTGGAGCTCTGTATGGGGCCACGAAGCGCTGTACTGGCTGGGGGAGGGGGGCGCGTGCGGGCGCCCCCACTGGGGCCGTCGGTGGAGCTCCGTATGGGGCCACGAAGCGCTGTGCTGGGGGCGGGGCCGCATGCGGGCAGCCCCACTGGGGCCTCCGGTGGAGCTCTCTCCATGGGGCCACGGAGCGCAAGACCGGGTGGAGGGTCAACCATGCAGGCGTTCGCACTGGGGCCTTCGGTGGAGCTCGCTACGGTGCCACGAACGGCTGTATTGGGTGGGTGGGTGGGGATGGGGGGGGGGGGGGGGGGGCGCATGCGGGCACCCCCACAAGCGCCTTCGGTGGAGTTCCCTATGGGGCGACGACGCGCTGTGCTGGGTGGGGGGGGGCGCATGCGGGCACCCCCACTGGGGCCGTCGGTGGGGCCCCCTATGGTGCCACGAAGCGCTGTGCAAGGCGGGGGTGCCGCATGCGGGCAACCCCGCATGGGCCTTCAGTGGGGCTCCCTATGGAGCCACGAAGCGCTGCGCTGGGTGGAGGGGGGGGGGGGGGGGGGGGGGGGGGGGGGCGCCTGCGCGCGCCCCGAGTAGGGCCCTCGGTGGAGCTCGCTATGGGGCCACGAACCGCTGTGCTGGGCGGGGAGGGGGGGGCGCGCGCGGGCACCCCCGCGGGCGCCTTCGGTGGAGCTCCCTATGGGGCGACGACGCGCTGCGCTAAATAGGGGGAGGGGGGGGGGGGGGTGGGGGGGGGCGCGTGCGGCGCCCTCGCTGGAGCCTTCGTGGAGCTCACTATGGGTACGAAGCGCTGTGCGGAGGGGGGGGGGGGGCGCATGCGGGCGCCCCTAATAGGGCCGTCGGCGGAACTCTTCATGGGGCCACGAAGCGGAACACTGGGTGGGGGGGCCGCATGCGGGCGCCCCCACTACGGCCCTTGGCGCAGCTCCCTATGAAGCCACGAAGCGCTGTGCTGGGCGGGGGGGCCGCATGCGGGCAGCCCTTCTGGGGCCTTCAGTGGAGCTCCCTATGGAGCCACGAGGCGCTGCATTGGGTGGGGGGGCCGCGTGTGGGCGCATGCGGGCGCCCCCACTGGGGCCTTTGGTGGAGCTCACTATCGATCCGCGAAACGGTGCTCTGGGTGGGGGGACCGCATGCGGGCGCCCCCACTAGGGCCTTCAGTGGAGCTCCGCATGGGGCGACGAAGCGTGTGAGGGGTGTGCCAAACTGAAGGGGGCTTGCACTGCGTATCAACGTCTGGGGGCCGCGCAGCGGTGCCGTTTGGGTCCCGCCAGTTGGCTTGGCTACGATCCCTCGCGAAGCACGTAGGATTCGCATCGCGACGGCAAGATTTCGGGCCTGCCGATGCCGCGATCCCTCGTAAAACACGTAGGGTTCGCGTCGCGGCGGCAAGATTTCGGAACTGCCGATGTCGCGATCCTTCGTAAAACACATAGGATTCGCATCGCGACGGCTTGCGCGGAGCGCTTGTCGGGCCACCTCGGAAGCGCTCCCGCTCGCGCAGGCTCGCACGGAATGCTTGTCGGGCCGCTCCGGAGCCGCTCCTGCTCGTGCTGGCTCGCACGGAATGCATGTCGGGCCGCCCCAGAGCCGCTCCCGCTCGTGCCAGCTCGCACGGAATGCTTGTCGGGCCGCTCCCGAGCCGCTTCCGCTCGCGCCGGCTCGCTCGGAGCGCCCGTCGGGCCGCTGCGGCGCTGCGGGGGCGTTCCCGCTCGCACTCGCTCTCAGAATGCTTGTCGGGCCGCCCAGGAGCAGCTCCTGCTCGCGCCAGCTCGCACGGGATGCTTGTCGGGCCCATCCGGAGGCGCCCCGCTCGCGCCGGCTCGCACGGAGCGCCTGTCGGGCCGCTGCGTACCGGGGCCCAAGACCATATTAAATCATAAAGAAATGTGTATTGGAGCCGTTTTTGGAGTCACTGACATTTTGCCGAGTCGGCCAGAATCTGCCAGATTTCCCCGAATCGGCCAAAATCTACCCAAACCGTAGAAAATCTCGCGCCAGCTGCGCGCGGAATGCTTGTCGGGCCCCTCCGGAAGCGCCCCGAGTTTGAAGGGGGCCGGGGGGCCCAGCCAGCAGCTTCGCCTTCGGCGAAGCCAAGCTCCCGCTCTGTTGTACCGTAGTAACGATAGTCCCAGTAGGAGAAGATGTGCCATCTTAAGCAATAGGAAGATCCTTTTGGTCTTGATGGCGATTGCGTGCCTCGCGGCGAGGCACGGTCATATTTGGGCGGCCGGCCGCTTGAGCCGACGCGGCCCGCGGGCGCACCCTCGCTTCCGCTTCTTGCGCCCCTCAGCTCGCCTTCGAGTCGGGGGGGGGGGGGGGGGGCGAAGCGTGAGCCCGTCGCCCCTTTGCAGCAGGCGCAGCAGCTAATATACACAAGGACAGAAAAAGGGGCGGGCCAGAAGAAAGGTGGACCCGCTCGCAAGTTGCCTTGCGGCTTCGCTTGTAAAGTTCTGTACTTGAAGTACTCCTCAGGCGGCGTCAGAACTAGATGTCTGGCCGGCCCGATATGGGGTATGACTCTTCAGGTCATGTTTGAAGGCCTGTATATCTCCCATGACTTGTAAGAGAATTTCTCGGTCGATGCCCCCCTTGGCGTGGCCATCCGCGGTCATGTCGCGGGTGTCGCACTGTGCGCGATCCCACGCTCCATCATCTGTCGTATCCAACTGATGTGTCCTACAGGGGTACACTCAGTCGGCTTCTTCAAGTCTCTGCTTGACAAGGACTTTAAAACAGACTCAGCATCTATGGCCAAAGAGACCTTGATGCTCAGGCCACTAAATTCAAGTATATATTTCAACTGAGTGGGCGTGAGCGGCCCTGTGTGGAGCTCGCGCAGAGTCACAGCCGTGGGATAACAGTCCTCCAAATTATGGGCTGCTGCTAGCGTCTCTGCTGAATAGCTCGGGCGGACCTGCAAGCGGTGGGACTTGCAGTGCGCGCCGATCAAGTGAACGACAGGTTTACCAGATGACGTGTTTCCACGTCGTAGCAGGTTTGCCCCGCGAATACCATAGCCTTTGACGTCGTCGCCGGAGTCTCCACTCAGGCGTCGGTATCCTGAGTCGCTGTGCAGGTCGACCTCGCCCGTAGGAGTCATCACCTGGTAGGCGATCTTCTTTGGGCAAGCCTGCAGCTCAGACGTCGCGCTTGGATCTTGGTCGGTTCTTGGACACGTTGTAGATGCAACGTGCACCATCAACCACACCTGGGTGATTAATGCATACGCCAGCGCGCCTCTGAGGCTGACGAACATGTCTGCAACCATCCTGGATGCCTGAGCGTCAGCGTCGGCGCCGGTAAGTTCAGGATGCTGTATAGGACGGAGCTGTTCGATGTATTCATCTTGGCCCAAAATGACATTGCTGTCCTCGTCCTTGGTGTATATCACAGCACAGTTGGTGCACGTGTGCTTGTTGAGTTTACATTTACCAAACATGACTTCTACGCACTTGACACACTTGTCAATGGTGTCCTCAGTGCCGGTCATATTGAAATCATCAACGGCCGCGGGCAGGTTGTTTCTCGTCTCGAACTCCTCGTCGTAGGGCGTGGGTCGGAGACCAAAGCCTCTGGTGGTCCTTCTGAGCTTTAGTGAGAAAGCCCGTGGTGCGCCCTTGGTGCCCGTGCCTGGTTTCAAGCACTGCAGGCGGTGTTTTGACTCGTCGTAGTGGTCGAATCCTGGGAGAGTTCGAAGCGCTGTGGCCGATCCAGGCGGCAGAATAAAAACACACCGCGCGTTCCTTTTCACCAGAAGCCCCAGCAAGTTCCTGATAGGTCAACCCCTTCAGGAAGGCCATGTTGGCGCCGAGGGAAGCAATGATCCATTGCTTCTTGCGCGCTGCCGTGCTCGCGAGTAGCCTCTGGCATGACCGTCGCGCTGTGCCTGGAGAGGTTTCTACGTCGAAGGCTTCAAAGTCCATGAACCTCGGAGTACCAGGCGTAATCTGATGGTACGTTCCATCTCGCCCTTCTCGTTCTTCACGAACTTCCATTTGCGCACGTATCTCGAAGTCATGATGTTCGACGCTTTAGCTATATCTTGCATATTGCAATACTTGTTGTCGAAACATGTCTTGAATTCAGTGTAGAAGGCCTTCGATACTTTATCGGGATTCGCCTGGATGTCAGCCTTCGCAAGGAGGTCGTCTTCCATGACGACCGCAGCTCGCTATGCAGCGGCGGTGACGTATACTCGCATAGTGGGCGCACGGTCGGCATCGAGTATCATATGTTGTTATTCGGACAGGACTACCTTTGACATTTCTGCCGTAAAGCAGAGTTCGACATATTGACAAGTTTCTTTTGAGTCCAGTCCGTAGTTGTCGTCTTCGACCATGGTGCACATTGGGGTGTAGTGCGTCTCCTCGGCGTCGGAGTCACGAGTGCGCCTCCACTTCGGCAGGTGTCCCCGCTGTTCATCAGCTACAGTGATCAGCGCACTTTGATCTGGAACCATCTCTGTAGGTATGGTGAAGAGGTCCTCTGGCGGAGTTGCCTCCAGCAGTTCCCTTTCTTGCATAACATGTGACTCGAGATCAGCCTCTGATTCTTCGTAGATCGTAGAAAGCCGTCCATCATCATGTGGTGGTTCGGCTTCTCAGGCGTCTCTTGTGGTTCCCTCCGGTGTCGGTGCTTCCGCCAATTCCTCAAATCCTGTCAGGTCCTGATCAAAACCTGCTTGAGGTTTAATGGACTTCAGGCATTGGATCATTCTCGAATGTGCTGGTCCAGTTATATCGTGTAGGTTCAGAGCAGTGCCTTCTGCTTCATAATAGTGAAATCCTGGATTCACGTCGTTGTCATAGTGGACCAATGTGCAGCTGTCAGCATAAGTAACCGGAGGTAGCTAATGAATACTCTTGGCTAGCCTGACGGAAACTACATTCTCAATGCGGAAGAAGTTTATGATAAGGCACTGTCGAACTAGATGTACCTTAGGAGGTAGACGGCTTGCACTCGCCATCTGAAGTGCCCCCTTCCTGGTCGGCACATAGCCAAAGGTCAGACCAGGTCTTCCCGCTGATAAAATGGCCACGAACGTCAACGCTGTGCGTAGCGCCGTGCTGTCGGAGCCAATCTCTCGGGCTATCAGTGCTTCAATATATAGTGGGTGTCTTGCATCGCCGTATTGCACTTGAACGTCTCGATTGCCCACTCGGATGATGACTTGACCCCTTTTTCAGGATCATTCTCTACACCTGGGAACGGGCCGTTTCAGCCTCCCCAGTCATCCTTCGTGGTCGTGGGGCGAAAATAATCGACCAAGTCTCCTTCATCGTAATAGTGCTGACCAGTAATAGTTGTCTTAGTGCGTAAGGTACGATTGGTCTTAGCTGCTGCTGTGGCCTGTGTGATAGCTCTGATACATGCCCTGCGTATCGTCTGCCCACGAGAATGGTCCGACGTTTCCGTCGACTGCTCGTGGTCCAGGACAGGTAAGTCAGGGAGCATTGCTGGTTGCCGTCCAAACAGAGCGTTATATGGAGACACCTCGTTGTAGAAGGTGAACGCGTTGGCGGCGAACAAAGCCTCGTGCAGTAGCCGTGTGAACACACGAGGTATGTCCAACCAATTGAGTTCAGCTTCCACGGCGTGAAGTAGATGGCGCAGGATGCCATTTCTGGCTTCGATCGTCGTAGCGTACTGTCCACGCGCACGTATCCTAAGTTCAATGCCTTTTGCCTTGAGGACTGCTTTCGCAGTGTCGTTGTTAAGGGCACCCTCTCCGTCAGAGCAGAGTACCTTTGCCAGCACTGATGATATGCACCCAGGATACTTGTCATAGTCTCGTCTGGTATCTCAATCCCCATCGCATATCGTATACAAATATCGATGATATGGAAGATGTTGTGTTCTTGCTTGTAGAACATCAGATCACATTCCACTTCTGCATTACATATGCCAGATAATGCAGTGGAGGCATAACAGTATGCCCTGGGCATACTGTTATGCCTCCCGGCATGTGTCGCAGACACCTTTGATCAGGTTGAGTCTAACATTGTCCAGACCTATCTTACTTAGGATGAGTCTCGTCCCAGGCTCTTTCGCATGGAACCAGCGCAAGTGTAACTTCCGCAGCTCGCGTGTTTTCACGCTGGGGTCAAGGCTTCGTGAATTGTTTAGTCTGGTTTGTACGTCGGGCCGTGACCAGTCTGGTAATCGTGGTCGCGCAGCAGGGTTACCCGCTGGTGGTGGAGGAGGTGCTTCTCCACCTTGCTGTCGGCCACGTCTGACTCTAACCAGTGGTAGTCGGAGAGGGCCATCCGAACTACCAGCTCCGCTCGAGGCAGGTTGCCCTGCAGCAGGTTCAGCAACATGTCTGCCTACAGTAATGTAGTGGCTGTCGCGCCCGCTGTAGGTCCAGCTCTTGGGCCGGGTCTTGGTGCTCTGAGCCGCGTGAGTGGTGATGCGGCTGGCGCCTTGGGTGGTGGTGCTGCTGGCTCAGCAGGAGCTGGTGGTGCAGGTCCTGCTGCCGGTTCGGCAGGAGCCGGTGGTGCCTGTCCACGGTTGTCGGGCAGCTTCCAGGGCTTGGCAAACTTGCATTTGGCCAGGTGTCAGTACGTATCCAGGCTTGTTCTTACCGTAGTTCTTCTTACAGCTCGGCCATTCCCAACGGTAGTCACCCTTATCGCGCCACCTGCAATGTCTCGGATTTCTGTCACGTGAGGGAGAACGCATGTTAACATTATCCGCGCATGCGGGACACCCGAGCCCTCCCAAGGGTGGTCTCGCAATCGAGCCATCGGGTTGCCGAGGGAGACTCGGGTCGTCTACGTCGTATCCCATCACGCTTCTGAACAGCATCGACACGAAGCGACTGCATATTTGGAGTGCATTGTGCCGACGCAGGTTGATGATGGCCAGCACGCCGTTTTCGTTCAAAAGGCGTGAATCAATTATCCCGGCAAAGCAACCGAAAAACGACGTGTATAAGCATATCTGGAAGTATTCCCCTGAAGATTCAGGTGAGAATCCAGTTGTAAAATTCTGCTGTTCTTGCAGTCGCAGTCGCATTCGCAATGGCAGTCGCAGTGGCAACGGCCTTAGGATCCAATGGGGTCCCATGGATTCCGAGGGATTCCTTAGGCATCCTAAGGCATCCTTAGGAATCCATAGGGATCCTTAGGAAACCTTATTAGGAATCCGGATTCCTAGGGATTCCTAATGATTCCGAAAGATTCCGGAGAAGTCCTAAGGATTCCTGAGGATGCTTAACTATGCCTACGGATTCCAAAGAATGCTTACGGCTTCCTAAGGATTCCTATGGATGCCTAACGATTCCTATGGATTCCTACGGATGCCTCAGCCTCAGCCTCAGCCTGCCTCGGCCTCAGCCTGCCTCGGCCTCAGCCTCAGCCTGCCTCGGCCTCAGCCTGCGTCAGCCTCAGCCTCAGCCTGCCTCAGCCTCAGCCTGCCTCAGCCTCAGCCTCAGCCTCAGCCTCAGCCTCAACTGCTGTGCGAGTCAAAAGGTCGCCAGACAAACCAGGGGCCCCACCGGACCTGGGGGCGGAGTGCAAGGAAAGAGGCGAGCGAGCTGCCTGGCCTCTTCGAGGCGTCCGTCCGCCGGTCTTATGCCCGCCGTCTGTGATCTCGGGCTTTGACCGATCTCCGCTCCAGAGATCCTGGACGGCTCCGACGGCAGCGATTGCCACCGTGGATCCAAAGCAGTGTGTTACTGCAGTGTGGATAGCTAGCGTCGATCCATCAGCAAGCAGCAACGACGGGGGAGGCCCCGAGGGGCACAAGGGCGAGCAGGGGGCCACGCAAAGCAGCGAGAGGCGATCGGCGCACGCCCCAGCTTCCGCAAGCGGAAGCAGGGCGCGCACCGTTCACCAACCCACCGCAAAGAATGGCCCCCCGAGGGGAGGAGGAGACGCCGGCGGCGGAGGAGGAGCGGGAAAGGCGAGAGGAGCGGAAGAGACGAACGACGGACGACGACGACGAACGACGAAGACGACAGCAGAAGGGATCGTCACTCGCGTAAACACGAAAAATATCAAAATGCTCAGTAGCTGCCCGCGCATGGGCGGGTGGAAGACACGGCGAGAGGAGGGGCAGAAAAGGAGCGACGGCGGGACACGCTCTAAGCGTCGTCCTCCACCACCTCTGCCAGCAAGCTTGGCGCGGCAGCCACAGCTCCGCCAGCCGAGGGGAGCTCCGCGTGCCTCCTCAGGACTGCTCGCGCCGTCGCCCGGCGGATCGCCACGGACAGGCGCTGGAACAGGCGTGCCGCGCCCGCCCCCAGCTCCTCGCCTCGTCTCCGATCGCTGGCCCGACCGAGCCGGCGCAGAGTCTCGGCGCCAGTCGGGCCCCATCCTCCAGAGGGCTCCGCCACGAGGGGGATGAACACGATCCCCTGCTGCTGGCACTGCCGCTCTGTGTCGAAGTGGTTCCTCTTCACCAACTCGTACTCCTGCGCCGCGCGCCCCACCTCCTGGAACGTCAGGACACGGGCAGCCTGCCTGCGCGGCGAAGACACCGCGAAGTCGAAGGCAGCAGGCGCCCCCTGGAACCAGGAGGGAATGTAGACATCTGCAGGCCGGCGCCCATTCACCTGGACGTCGTCTGGGCGGGGCGGTAGGAGGCCAGGTTGCTCGAGCGTCGGGTTGAAGCCCGCACTGGTGGCGAAGGTGCCGACCACGTTCCTCGCCCCGTTGTGCCGGTGGACGCGATCCCGGCCCCCGCGCATAGTCCTGCGTGCCGGCCGTGGCGGTCGCAGACGTCCTCGCAGCATGGGCAGAAGTGCTCAGTCTCGTACACGGGCATGAGGAGCCTGCGCTTGACCTCGCACGCGAATTCCTCGGGTTCGAAAAGGAGCCCCAGCTGCTCGCTGGGCTGCGCCTCGAGGAAGTCTGACGCGCCAGGCAGCATCTCTGAATTGATGTCAGCGCGGTCAGCTGCCCCCAAGCCCGCCAGAAAGGTCTGGTGCCCGCGTTCGTCCACCGCGGCAGAGAGCTGCTTCTGCGTGGCCCTGTCGAGCGCCGCCGGGTCGAGGCCGTCCGCCGGCGCCGGCAGGGCGTTGTACGCCAGGAGCGCCTGCCCCTCCAGCGTAGCCGCGCTGTTCGGCGCCCACGCGTAGGCCGGGCCAAGGTCGCAGCACAGGTGCCGCGTGGCTGCGAGGCTGGCCAAGTAAGCGCCGGGCGCGTGTGCTGTCAGCTCCCGCAGACCGAGCCCCGCGTGGGCGAACCCTCTGGCTGCCTGGCGCCACTGCGCGTCCGTCAGGTCCGCCGCCAGCAGGTTCGACAGCGCGCGCCGCTGGCCGTCGTCGAAGCAGTGCAACGCTTCCGAGAGCAGAGCAGACGGCGCCGTGCGGGCGCTGTACACGAGTTTCGCGTAGCTCGCGCAGTAGCGCAGGAGCGCGAGGCCCACCTGGGGGTGCAGGTTGGCGAGCGCCTCCAGGGCGGGCTTCGTCTTGTCGGCGCGGCGCTGGGTGAACGCCTCGCAGTAGTCCTTCGCCCCAATAGGCGCTCCCAAGAGCTTGAAGCCGCCTCTGAGGACAACGCGGTCGACCCCCGTCTCTGCGCCCGCCAGGAGGGGCGCAGGGAAGAAGTCTGCCAGGCCGTCCAGCCTGCGTCCGCAGGGGACTACGAGCTCGCACTTGCCGAGGTGGAGCAGGAGGCCCAAGTCAGGGCAGCGGCGCTGCAGAGTCGCTAGTGCTCGCGCCACAGCCTCCTTCGAGCCCGCCAGGAAGCCGTCGTCCAAGTAGAAGGCGCATAGGTCCAGGTCTGCAGCGCCCGCAGGCTCCTCCAACACCGCGTGCGCGGCGAGGGCGAAGATCAAGGGCCCTAGCGGGTCCCCCTGTTGCACGCCTGCCTGCGAAGACATCACATGGCTGCCAAAACACAGATTGGAGGGCTCCGCGTAAGCCCAGCGCGCCCAGCGCTCCAGCTCCGGGAAGCGGGCACGGACAGCGCGCAACGCGGGGTCACAGTGCAGCGAGTTGAAAGCGTTTGCAAAGTCGAGCTTGAGCAGCACCTTGTCGTCCTCGTCTGCATTTCGCTCGCACCACTGGCGCACGGCGTGAACCGTGGCTTCAGCCCCCAGGGGGCTGCAGCAGCCTGTCTGCAGCGGCCAGAGCATCTGGCGCGCACGACCCTTGACGTGGTCGCAGAGCACCTTGCTGGTCAGGCGGCGCAGGACCTCGCCGACCGCGATCGGACGAAGTCCCCCGTCGTCCTTTTCCAACGCCACCAGCTTCGCACCAGCCGCAGCCTGAACCTCAGCTTTAGCCTCAGCCTGCCTCGGCCTCAGCCTGCCTCGGCCTCAGCCTGCCTCAGCCCCCCCCCCCTTTCCCCCCCCCCACCCCATTCAGCCTCACCTTGTCTCAGCTTCGGGCTGCCTCGGCCTCATCCTCAGCCTCAGCCTCAGTCTCAGCCTCAGCCTGTCTCGGCCTGGCCTGCCTCGGCCTCAGCCTCAGCCTCAGCCTCAGCCTCAGCCTCAGCCTCAGCCTGCCTCAGCCTCAGCCTCAGCCTGTCTCAGCCTCAGCCTGCCTCAGCATCAGCATCAGCCTCAGCCTCAGCCTCAGCCTGCCTCGGCTTGCCTCGGCCTCAGCCTCAGCCTGCCTCAGCCTCAGCCTCAGCCTGCCTCAGCCCCAGCCTGCCTCAGCCTCAACCTCTATCAGCCTCAGCCTCAGCCTGCCTCAGCCGCAGCTTGCCTCAGCCTCAGCCACAGCCTCAGCCTCAGCCTGCCTCGGCCTCAGCCTCAGCCTCAGCCTGCCTCAGCCTCAGCGTCAGCCTCCCTAGGGATTCCGAGGGATTCCGAAAGATTCCGGAGGAATCCTAAGGATTCCGGAGGATGCTTAACTATGCCTACGGATTCCAAAGAATGCTTACGGATTCCTAGGGATTCCTATGGATGCCTAAGGATTCCTATGGATTCCTACGGATGCCTCAGCCTCAGCCTCAGCCTGCCTCGGCTTGCCTCAGCCTCAGCCTCAGCCTGCCTCGGCCTCAGCCTCAGCCTGCCTCGGCCTCAGCCTCAGCCTGCCTCGGGCTCAGCCTGCGTCAGCCTCAGCCTCAGCCTGCCTCAGCCTCAGCCTGCATCAGCCTCAGTCTCAGCCTCAGCCTGCCGCAGCCTCAGTCTCAGCCTGCCTCAGCCTCAGCCCGCCTCAGCCTTAGCCTCAGCCTGCCTCGGCCTTAGCCTGCGTCAGCCTCAGCCTCAGCCTGCCTCAGCCTCAGCCTTGCCTGCCTCAGCCTCAGCCTCAGCCTGCCTCGGCGTGTCTCAGCCTCAGCCTCAGCCTGCCTCGGCCTCAGCCTGCCTCAGCCTCAGCGTGCCTCAGCTCGGGCATTCAAGATATGGCACAGGACGAATGTTCTGGGAACACGAAAATCACGAAATGGCCCACAGTTGGCTCCGGGCAGTGACAATATTGTATAGGAGTTGTGTTCTGGGAACACAAAGAACACGAAGTGGCCTACATTTGGCTCCGGGCATTCAAAATGTGGCCTGGGAATAATGTTCTGGGAACACGAAGAACACGAAGTGGCCTACATTTGGCTCCGGGCATTCAAAATGTGGCCTGGGGGTGGTGTTCTGGGAAAGCGAAGAACACGAAGTGGCCTACAGTTGGCTCCGGGCATTCAAAATGTGGACTGGGAGTGGTTCCTGGGAACACGAAGAACACGAAGTGGCTTACAGTTGGCTCCGGGCATTCAAAATGTGGCCTGGGAGTGGTGTTCTCACCCAAGTACCCACTGGTTGTTCTCGTAAGTAGAATCGTCGAAGATCGTTCTGACGTCTATAGACGTCAGAACGATCTATAGAAGGGGCTATAGCCACCTTCCCACATAACTTGACATGCGGCAAATTCTCTTTATGATGTTCATGCCAAGTACCGTAGTTAACCTGAGCATTGAAATAGAAATGCATCCCAGTTGTTCTGCAGCTGTCATGTAATATGACAACTTTGACAAAACAAACGTCCAGATAGTGCATCGCTGCATCTTGAACAACCTTGTTGCCAAGGTCAACGAAGGTATGTGTGCCGGGGTTTCCCCCTGAGGATAGACCTCCGCCGAAAGCTAGCTGCGATATGCCCCCACCTCCTCCGCGCAATTCCAGCATATCCACCTTGATATGACGTCCATACACACAGGGTGGGGATGATGCTGAATACATCTGCATAAGATTCAGCAAGTCGCCCCGCAAATCGTGTGATGAAGATTTCCTCTTCGTCGCCACTTTCCGTGTCGGAGTCAAGAGGTACGTCGGTGTAGTACGCGCTACATCCGAGTCCTTTTCAGGCCATCTCCGCAGTCGTCGTTGCCTTCTTCGATTATCTTGGGTACCTTGCGTGGTTGGTTGCCTGCTTCTTTGTCTGCTTTCTGTTTTTCTTTTTTGTTCAATTCTGGCATCGGTTGGTAGCGCTGTCTGCTGTTCAGTCTCAAGTGAACTGAGTGTCGGACATTCGGGAATAGAGGGGGGCACGCGGCCGCGCTCAATCGAAGGGGGAGGGGGACGATCGTCAACGATGATCGCCACTCGCCTTGAGCGTGGATGCGGGCTCCCGTGTCCGAGGAGAGCCGACTCAGGCCGCTCCCAGTACAGTCGAGTACGGATGTTGGTAACACCATTTGGTAATGGTGCGTTGTAGTAATACCCGATAGGCTGGTCCTGAATCTTGATGTCTTGTATGATCGTGTTGTCGTCCAGGTTCATCGTTACCCGTCTGACAACATGGTCCCACTCAGGGCCGTTCTTTGGAGACTGAACGTAAGTCCGAACTCCTTTATCCACTCGGGTGTGGATACTAAGATGTACAGCGCTTGTGTGATTTCTCTGCGTCTTGTGTAAATCCATATGATCGATCAACCTTGCGGTCATGTTCGCTGGCGTCTTGTCACGCCATTCGGCCTTCTGAGCTCCTTGTACATGCCAATCCAGGACATGCTCAGTAGGCTGTGCAGGTTCCCTGGCTGTTTTGCACGTGCATCGCAATAGGTTGATCGGGATGCGCGCGCAGGTAGCTGCCACTTGCAGATATGATCCGCTGGGCAAAGTATTAGAACGCTTGTACTTGAGGCCGAAGAGGCTGAATCGCATACGCATGACCTGTTAATCAAGATCTTCAATCGCGTCTCGTATAGGACCTTGTTTCCAACAATATCCGGGTGGCCCCACAAGCACAATAGTCATGCGTAGAGCCCGAGCCTTGGCCATCAAGTTTTGGATGCGTTGATAATGTGGCCCTGCCCGCTTGCCAGGCAGTCTCACATGCCAATCCGCAGGTGTAGCCACCCACAACAGTTGGTAATCGCCCGAGAATAGAGCACCCAAATACTGTGTACCAGTGGAGGTCATGACCTCTGCATGTGCAATACGATCACACATGTCCTCAATAACAAATGCACGCGAGTGATAATGACGCGATAACCCTTCTTTTTCTGCAGCGGCCACACAGCCGGGCCCACTGCTATCCGTGGCAGTCGCGCAGCCGGGCTGGCCACTCTGGCGCGCACAGCCGGCGCCTGGGAAAATGATGCAGGTTTCCCCGCGCTTGCTGACAGTACCTGAGTGTTCGGCCTGTCCGAGCAAGCGCGAGTGGCCGTGGTATGCGCCTGCCCCCGTCACTCGTTGGGCGATGGGGGCGTCCAAATGCCTGTGCCATGCTGCGCTGCAGAGCCGCTGCTCGAAGTAAAAATGTCAAACTTATCAGCGGCATCATCTCCTTCCGCAGGTGCCCCTGCGTGTGCGTCGGGCGGCGTCCACTTCGCGCCCTCCTCGTAGCTGGCCTGATTTATCTTCGCCTGCAAATTGCGCAAAGCGAAGTCCTGGTCGGCCGAGGTCGGGTTGCTCCCGAAGCACGTATTCCTGCGATGCCAAGTCTTCAAGGTGTTATCCATCAAAGACTGGATCGTGAACGTGAACGTCTCCTCCTTGATGGACGAGCTGATGCCCTTGGTATCCTGTGACATCATATGTATGAGCGTCACTCATAGCAGGTGCCCCCGCGGCTGACTCTGGATCAGATGCTTCTTTGACGCGCAACGGATCATCTTCGCATTGAGGATTGGCCGTAATAGTAAACGACATCGACCCTTTTTCCTCTGTGGCGGCACCGTACTCGTCGGCCTTGAGTGCCAGATGTCCAGAAGGAGTCTGCATCATATCAAGCACCCTGGCACCTTTTCCAAGTCGAGTCTTGTACGTCGCAGAGCCAGGGGTGATCATCTTCTCGCGCCCCTGCTCCAGGATCAGGATGGCCCTCATGTTGGACATGCGCCTTTGACCCAGGATAGCAGGGAGGTTCTCCCCAGAACCCTCAGCTACATGTGCTGAGTAAGTGCCAAGTCTCGGCGCAGCAGGTGTACCCGCCGGACCCCCCTTTTCTTTGCGCGCAATCTTGCAGTGCAGGGACTTGCCACAATCGCGGCGCCACGCCCCACTTCAGACACGTAGAGCCTCTTCGTCAGGTTCAGCCTCTTGATGGCGTGTCCGTGGGAACGAGATACCTGTTCGAAGGTATGTGCCATCTTTAAACCGTGCCATTTATCAAAGTTCCACTGTTTGCTGCCAAGGCCAATTCGTGGCATTCACCAAATAGTCCTGGCACTTCAGACAGCGTCGTGCCGCGCATGCCTTTGCGGCGCCTCTGCTCCAACACCCAGTGGTTTCGTGGCAAAGATGTAAAGACGTTCATATATCCACGAGCCTCTTCCTCCGCAATCGGATTCTTTCCAAAGGTCCAGGCTGCATGATATTCGTCATATGTGTATGGGCGTGATGCAGAGGTAGAGGGCATGTTCAGAAACGTATCCTCGTCTGCGCGCATGCCCATTTGGCCATCTGTATTTACTATAAACACAATATGCAGCATGTCGCGTTCGGATATCGCACTGTTGCCACTGCGCGCGCTCGCTGGGCTCTGCGTCCTGGGCTGATTGCGTGACCGGATGTCTCGCCCATATGGCATGTGCGTATGTGGAGACGGAAGCCACTGAGCGCTCCTATCAATAGCCCTCTCAATTCGCCTCAACCACGTGTCATTGACCGGCACCGAAGGTGGTGCTGACGTAGCAGGTGTCCTTGCATTGTTAGCGGTCTTTGCTATCAGTGGTATAGGCGTGTCTACAGCAGGTGTCCCTGCAAGTGTAGTGGCCTCCGTCACTAGCCCCGCGTTGGCTGATGATGCAGGTTGCCCCGCTGGTGTCGTTGTTGAGACTACCGCACTGCTCGTCATCATCGCCGTGACGCGGTTGAGCTCTTCACGGAGGTCCCTGAGTTCGTTCGGCCCTCGGAGTATATCTTCCTGGCGGCCGAGTGACTCCTGATCTCCAGCGAGGGCGTAATGGAAATCGGCTGCGATTAAG